GAGGAGGAGGAGGGGGAGCCATAGTCTGCATTGAATTGAAAGTTCCAGACACTCCTGGCAGTGGCGGTGGTGGAGGAAGAATCGTTTGAAGCTGACATGAGCACTGGAAGCCGTTCTGTCTCTGTGGCAGGGCAGAAGTAGGCACTTTCAACTTAAAGCCATTGTCTAGAGGTGAGGTCTGCACAGACTCGTCCTCTAGGCACCCTAGAGAGGAAGCTGCCTCTGTCTGGAGATGGGCATCACATAGAGACCTCAGTATGCCCTCTTCTCCACACGCTCTGTCTGTAGTAGATGTCTTTGTCCCATCTCTTGTCAGCACAGGTGGCTGTCGCTCCAGCTCAACAATCTTAGTCTTGAGGTCTTCTATAGTTTGTTCGAGTTGCTGGATGACATTAATATGTTTTTCCCTTATTTTCTTCGAGGGGAGCACACATTTATCCTGTAAAAAAAACAGCCATGAGGTGTTAGCAAAGTCAGGAAAAAGTAACCACTAACAAGGGCTCTTGTATTTCATGTCTTTTGTCTGGACATTAACTGTGTTTCCATCCAATTACATCCAATTTTAATTCGAATTTTGAGCAAATTTTAATAATTTCGCAAAAAGGAAAAAAATAAGAAATGCGAATCAGACGGAGTTTCCATCAACTGGCTTGAAGCAAATCAATTACGCCATACGCATGTGCGTAGTAAACAGGAAGTAACCGTCACTAAACTGGCAGGGTCCACACGTCTCAGGATAATGGAGAGAAGTTATCAGGAACGTGTTGCTACTGTCAGGAAAGTTGTAATTATTCTGTTATCAACTAGTTTTGGTGATGTTACTGCTGTCTGGAGACGTAGAGAAAGAAATGCAATTTTCTTCACGTTACAGGATTACTGAGAAAACACAAACAGTGGGAGGAGGGTTCTGCTGCCAGCTGCGGCTGCAGCCGACCCGAAACCGGTACCGGGGAACAGCTGATCAGCTACGTGAGGTAAATGTTCGCTACGTCACAACTTATTTGGCAAAACTGTTTCCATCTCTCCTTTTGTGCATTAAGTGTTTTTCAAAAAAACCAAAAAAACCACCTCAAGCGAGCGTAAAAACTTTTTAGCGAATTGTTTTTTTTTTTCGAATTTTGCTGTTTCCATCTGACTTTTTTTTTTCGCATTTTTAATGCGACACTTCTAAGTGTGCATCAAAAAGCCATGATGGAAACACAGTTACTGGCCAGGTTAAGATTTTGAAAGTATGATAACCTTGAGTAAAAATACAAAGGTTTCACAGTATTCAAGCAAAACTATTAAACTGATGTTTGGAGAAGAGTGTTTATAGGTAGGACCCAGAGAGGCAAGGAGAAATGTAAACATTTATTTTTACAAAATATTAAACCTAAAAGTTAAATAATATGTAATTATTGCCAACTGTCAATGTTGAATCTGTTTATCAGCAGTCTATCCCAAATGATGGGTGTGACAATCGCCAGGATCAGGATTAAATGATGCAAGACAATTGAGAAAGAGGTCACAAGCAAGACTGATGCTGTGCAAACTGACTGACCAGAGAAAGCCTGGAGGCCATGAAAGGAGCTGGTCTGGTAGACTCCAGAGTTGGCTGGCCTTTGTAAGGCATTAAGATAGAAATGCAAAGATACAGATCCCAATCAAGCAAAACCAGGTAGGAACAGTACAGTATGTACAGCCCCGCATTCACTATACACACGTGGACAAAATTGTTGGTAACCTTTGTTTAATGAAAGAAAAATGCACAATGGTCACAGAAATAACTTGAATCTGACAAAAGTAATAACTAGATCTGCAAAGCAGTTATGACCGAGGTCCAAGCCCATGTTTGCATATCCATCTTGGCACGTCATCCTGAGTACACTGTCGACCTGTGCATCACAGAGTTGTAACATGGGGCATATGTATAAGGTCTTTTTGAGACCCTAATGGCTTATATAAATTTAGGTCTCAGATAAAGGTCACTCAGTCATATGTCCTTTGTTGCCTTCCTTACTGTGTTTTGACTGGCAGCTGCATTATTAACATTCATAAATCATTACACCAACTGTGCCCCCTCTGGTCCAAACCATCTTAATCTGGTCTGTCTAACAACACCTCCAAATTGTTCATCTGTAATGTACTTCTGATGATCTCCCTCTTTATCTGACCCATCTTTCTTTCTCACAAGTACAGTCTCAACATCTTCAGCTCTGCCACTTTAGTTTCTTTCTCTGTCTTTCTTTCCTGTCAATGCCACTGTTAATGTGACTCTTTTAATTTTTTTTATCATTGATGTTTACTGCAATTTTTTAACTCCTGAGACTTTTCTTTTTCCACTCTATCTTTGCTGTCTGTCTGTCTGTCTGTGTGTCTGTCTGTCTGTCTGTCTGTCTGTGTGTCTGTCTGTCTGTCTGTCTGTCTGTG